AATGAAGGATAAATAAATTGAACTACCAAACATTGTGCGGTCAATGTTGTCAGTTGAATATTTTTTAGATCATTGTAAATTAAAACAACCATCCTTGAATAGGCTTGTGATGTTTATCTCACATTCACTATTGTTTTAAACGGCTTTTACATGTTTGACTTACGGTTAGAATAAATAAAAAAGGGGTATTTTTAAGGGAATTTATTACATAACTTAATTAGTGCTGTGATAAAAAAAAGTTCGGTTGAGTAGGTAAATACATTTAAAAACATGGTCTTAGTGGTGATATTTTCAATATAAAAAAAAGTATACATTGTAGTTCGTGCTATAGTATGTATATAATATTGACATATAAAATCAGAATGAATCATAGACCTAGAAATATGTTCTGCGTGATTTCATCTTCTTTACAACTTTATGTACTTATAAAAGTAGTTTTGTTGTATATGAAAAAGGAGTTGCACACAATACAAAAACAATAATTTTATCAGTAATGTTTGTTCTTCAAAAAGGCTCTATTTGGTCAAATTGATAATTTTATACCGTATAGTGCGGAAAGTATGCTAAAATGACCAACGCACTGCAAAATATTAGTGTCAGAAGTGGGATTCGAACCCACGCCCACAGAAGTGGACTGCGACCTGAACGCAGCGCCTTAGACCGCTCGGCCATCCTGACTTGTAGTTGGAAACTATTATCTGTCGTCAGCGCACAAACGACAAGGCAAAACTATTATTCATGGGAGTGACCATTTTTCTGTACCAAAGAGAGTGAGTTGAAAACTTAGAGTAATTGTTGAAAAGATGTAACCAACCAGCATTTACTACAACCTTCAACAATGGGTTCTTGGAGGAATTCTATAAGTTGTGGACAATTGATTACGCTACTAGAAGTAGTGACACATAACTTGGGTATATTTGATTAGACCATGTAACCTGCCCTGTTTAGTTGTTCAGTTTTTTTACTGGAAGTTCAGAATAAGGTTCTAGCTCATGAAGTGAGAAAGCCAATATAACGAATAAAGTGTATAAATAATTTATTCTGTTTGTTTAGAGTTTACACCGCTTGACAAACGATTGCAGACATTTCCCATCACATTTAGTGAAAAACTTGTGAAAAATTTTATTTATAACTCGTGATGGGATGTTTTCGAAATAATTTCTTTAAGAAATGTCCGTTTCTTAAGTTACTTTTTGGCATAAATGCAACAAATGTCTTGAATAATTTGATGGTTAAGGTTACACAATGCAACAAGAAACCCCAAAACCCAAACACTAGACAAAACAAATCATTCAGCACAAAACGCGATTCAAATCCTAATCACGGCGAAAGAGCGGCGGCGACAGCGGGAAGAAAAGAAGAACAAAGCCGCATTGTTGCCAACAATGAGCTAGACTTCTCGTAGCTGTGAGCGGTTGTACACCGACGAAATATAAATGGCAGCGAACCCCCGGAGAAATAACATTCATTTGTCAAACGACCACGTGACCCAGCGAGCCAATGGGAGGCGCTCACCCCCGGTCGATAGTGGTATCGGCACACGATACGCGACGATGGCACATTTTGATTTACCCCCACTCCACTCCACAGTGCTTATCTTACTTACACATGTATTAATAAAGTGTTATGCAGGAACTAACCTCTTTCTACACCCCTAATCAGGTGTGTCATTTACTACGAGTCTGTATTGACGCGTCTCCAAATCCCCCTCCCGCTCCCACAACCCTCAGACGGCTTCTTGATACTGATCCCTCCCCCCGGCACTTCCTTGTTTTCATTAAATTGACCTTCTTTCAACGTTTTACTTAGTTTTAACTAGGTTATATGATAATATTTTTGTTTTAGAGAATTTCAGGGATTAAGCTATTACCGTAGGTCTCATGGTAAGACCTGGATCCAGGACCGATGTATTTTCTGTTTCTATGTCCCCAGAGGCCAAAAACACCATCCGTTCAAATTCATAAATATTTGTTACGTGTGTGTGTGTCTGTTAGCACGATAACTCGAGCAAAAATATGGTACAAACGTGTAATATTACGTTTATTCGAACGAGTTCGCGAACCAGCATGATCGGACCATGGGAATGGGGTTTTATGGGGGAATTTATGGGGTAAAAGTTGGTTATTATCGTTTTTGGGCCTCAAAACATAAAATTTTCCAATTTCTCTGTAGAGCATTTTGATGAACTTAAAAAACAAATAATTCAGTATATTGAAGTGTTTTTCTATGGTTATTGATTACGGCGAAAATTCAAATTATTGTAAATTTAAAATTCCTATGTTGTTCTTATGGAGAATAAGTAAACTGTTATAGTCTGCTTGTTTATGGATATATTTTGATCAAATATGGCAAATATTTTTATTTTATTCTAAGCTATTAATCTTTTAGTAAAAAAAAAAAAAAAAAACAATTTATTACCCTCCCTGTAGCAGCAAACCTAGGTACTCGTTATAAACCTATTGTTATGTAAATAGATTAAATTGAAAATCAAATCAGGAAATGGAAATTTGCTTAGTCTGCAGGTTTGCTGCGGCGGCAGTATTTTTATTTGTTTGATTTTGGAGTATTTTTGTTGAAAACGAGTGTTATATTTTCCTTCCACCTTCCAAGGTAATTAAAATTTATAATTAGGAGTGGTTAATTTATTCTTTTCCTCAGATTGGCTGCACTATTCATAGGCCTGTTTTAACGCACTCTCTACGCTCTCTGTGTTTGGCGCACTCTCTACGCATACTCTTGGTTTTAGAGGGCATGTGCGTGCATCTCGGCCGGCGGCAGGGGAGCAACAAGTCCTGAATTACTCGAATGCCAATCTCTGTGTTTGGAGGAAATTTTCTAGGTTTTCCTACTCGACAATGTTGTTCTGAGAAAGGCTAATATATACAAATACATCTTATATTGCTCAAGATTTGTTCACGATGGACTCAAGACATTGAACCTATCCAACATCCAGTTGGCAATGATCCTAAATAGGATAGTGTTTTGTACAGGGTTAGGCAACTGCTTGTGTGCAGACATCGAATTTTAACCGACTACCGTTTTCCAATCGGCACCAGGACGAACCTTTTATCGAGAAACAAGGACCGAATCCTAATATTCACAAATGGTCAGTTTGTAAAAATATTTTATCCACATTTTCTTATTTAAGTACTTTTGGAACGAAGGGAACTGACTGTTAGAAAGATCTCCCTATCTTTCATCATACGGTTGCGCTATATTCTTTGCACGGGCCTGGTGCTCTCTTTCGCTGGATAAATTGCAAGAGTGGTAACATAAATTTGCAATAGTCAAAATTACCTACAATTGTGCTGAGTTTTTGACTATCAGATAACCTCGAAAATCAAATATTGTATTTATAACCCACGCAAAAATACTAAAGATACCTATATACATTGATATATTGTCCAAACCACTTACTCGACCTTCTAATTCCTTCATAGAGGGTTGCTTCTACAGGGAGGGATTTACATTGTTGTCCCCAACATCACAAAATCATCTCAAGAGTGGAGAACCCTTCTCCGACCCTTCCTTCACTTTTGGTTTTAGGGTCTTGATAAATACGCGGGATTTTGGGGGAGTGTCCGCGCCACGATCCATTACCATTCTGATTTGCGATTCCATTTGGTTGTTGTCCCTCACCCTCGTTTCCCCGAGTCGAATTTATTTCAATATCCATCAGTTCCAAACGTCCTCAGGGCGAGTTTTACATATTGCTTGGTGACGCGGTTCGCGAAATTCCAGTTCACTTGATCAGCGGGAGAAACGATGTTTCGCTGTAGAAAAACGCGGGACTTACAGAATAATAAACTGTACCAGCTAACTTACCCTAGCTTTCTCCCTAGCTTGTCAACATAACGGGTAAGTGGCGAAAGTAACAATAACATTATGGGTAAAATCACAAATATTACAATACATTTTAAAACTGTAATACCGTAGGACGTAGATTAAACATACTCCCTTGTGTTGGTTAGTCTGTGATAATATTTACAGCATTTTTGGTTTACCATTTTGCTTGAGTTGAAAGGACGACAACATACTATCTTTTAATCAAAATTCTTAGCCTTTTATGAGGAAATCCTTTTTTTCAGTCATATTATGAGTTTTTATGGAAAAATCGCATATAAACTTGAAATAAAAAATAACACCTAGAAGTAACCTGAGTAGGCCTACACACTTACAAAATTTCATTAAAATATTCACCCATTTTCGCCCAAAACTCGAAAATTAGCATTACTTTCTGCATATGCCCTATGCATAGAGAAAGAAAGTAAAATGCCGAAACACTGTCAGAAGACACCTCCCTCGCCCAGATTGGGGTTACAACAATTCCAAGGACTGGCGAGGAAGGGCCATCGAAGTAAATAATACAACGATGGGAAGGGCCCGTCCTTTCGCAGAAGGACTATGTTTAGGACTCTGTATTGGTGCTAAGCCGTTAAGTGGCCCTAGTAGCAGAATGCACGAAACTCAACATTTTTAAATACCGAACTAAATATGAAAACTGGCTATCCTATACTATTTTCTTACAGCATTAATATACTAAGAAGAAATTAAATGGAATAAATAAAAGATATAAGTTAAGAAAGGATTTCATAATACGTAACTAACTAGGCCTTTGAACAATTAAAATTTTTTTCACCCCCCCCCCCCCCCCCAAAGTTCATTTGGATTAATTATAATAATTTCGAATTACATGCCTTGCAGATTGCTTTGACTTGTTTTGTGGTATTTAATTTCATATTTACATCTGGCTTTCCTTGATTAAGACCAATTGCATCTTAATTTTATTCTCCAAACGACCAATAACTGGCTTATACCTACCTCAAGTCGTATATACAATTCTTGACTATGCTTAGATATTTTGTCTTACAGAATGTATGTTTTGAAAAGTTAAAAGTTTTGAGAAAAGGGTAAAAAAAATGAATCATAAGTGGTTGCATTATTTTTTTAATTTGTTACGGTACATAATATCAAATAATGTATTAACTGTAAAACAGGACTAATAAGAAAATTTAATTAACCTCTGAACATTTACCAATAATTTCTGATTGTGGACACTGGCTATATATATACAAAGGGGTGGATTTGATTAAGGTTGTGGCTAAACCCTGTCAAGTAAACCAGGAACATATTTGGGTTAAGTAAATTCAATTAGGGCATTTAAAACATCCCTTCGAAACTTTAATTTGTCTTGAAACGGCATCGCCCTTAACATAGGCAATAGAGATTTGAAGAAGTCCATGTCGTCAGAGTCACAGTCTTGGATGGTCATTATCCTGGGCCTGACTTCGTTCACAGAGTTTTCCTCGACGTTTTCATCCTCAGCTTTTCTTTTCCTGTCGACCGTACTCGAAGAACACTGTAAAGGATCTTCTATTTGTGGTTTCGCATTGATGTGTTCATCAAAAATTTCCTGGACAAAGTCTGCCGCATCGAAATCACTGTCGTCTGCAGATGGAGACGGGGGCCGTTGTGAATGATTCGGGTTCGATAAAAACTCGAGTTGTTTCGCGTAAATGTAAGGCTTCACAGCCCTTTTCTTACTTGTCTTTTTATCCTTTAACCGCATGAATCGTACGTAGGCGTCTCGTATACTCCGCCATTTTGCCATGACTTCTTTGTCTGGAAAAGAAACAAAATGTATTAATGGTTGTTTTTTGTTTGGTATATTGCAGGTAGCCTAAATTGAATACACTTAATTGTTATCCCTTAAGGCCTACGGCTGAATGCAAACATCATCAGATGCGCTATTAACTGTTCTTGCATTGGGTCGATGAATTTAATACAATGTACAAAGACGGGTGATATAGATAGTAAGCCTTCTTTAGATCCAACGCTAATACGAGGCCACGGCGTTGGTGAGTGACAACGTCGCACCGATCGGTAATAACAAACGTGTAAACATAAACATTGTGCAGAATATCCATTATCCTTTATTACGAGATCTTAGTGCACCACCGTGTGCTTTCACTCACATCGCGGGGAGCCGCTTTTGACCTTTTACTGCTCTTCAAGAGCGTCAATGGTCTGGGTAGACAATCCTCTGGTAACCTCCATGGTGTCGTGCTTCGAGCGCCTAAATTAGTGGTGCGAGCGCCGAAGCCATAATTTTTGTAAGGGTCTGCTCAATGAAGCAGAAGTGACGAGCTTAACATGAGCCTCCGTGGAAGGGCTTATCCTCTCCGCGCGGTGGTCACTTCGGGTTCCCCGTGGCACATGTCCAAGTTCGGAGAGCCAGCTGTTATGTTAGGTTTGGTTAGGTTAGGTTAGGGTAGTAGCAAACGTTTATGCTATTATAATGAGGTATAAGAACGCTCTAAAAACACAAAGTTTTAAAAGGTTTTAAAAGCTCGCATATACGGACACAATTTATCTACAACATGGATAATTTGACGATTAAGTGTACAGTACCTATATACTTGATTAGCGCTGTCAAATCAGTCACAGCTTAGCAGGTAGTCCACGCGGCGCTCGCGCCACCCGGCGCTCGGACCGTTCGGCGCTCGCGCCACGTACAACCACTTCCATGTCCCAGTCGCCCGTCTCCACCCGGAGATCTCACCCCTTCTCCAAGCATCACCACGAGGTAGCGGATTTTTATCCCCCTGGAATTTTACCCCCTGGGCAAACGTGACGTCACAAACCAGGGTGTAAAATTCCGGCCGCGAACTTTTGAGTTTCATTTTTGCAATTATGATAACAGCTAATTTAAAGAACTGTCAAAGTGGCGTGTGCTCCCGCTATCTCCGCGTTCCGCCATCTCCGAACCCAAATCTGTCCCGCCACCTCCGAATTCTTGAGTGACCCTTATAATCCCGTCACTGCCTGCGTTGTTAGCTGTCATTGCATCGGAAGATTTAATGAAAATTTAGCCCGTGGGTTAGGTTAGGTTAGGTCAGGTTAGGTTAGGTTAGGTTAGGTTAGGTTAGGTTAGGTTGGGTTAAGTTAAGTTAGGTTAGGTTAGGTTTGGACGGAATGTCTTAACGCAGGAAGTAACAGAGGATTATAGGTGTCACTCTGAAATTCGAAGATAGCGGTACACGGAGGTGGCGGGACGCGGAGATAGCGGGAGGTAACCAAAGTAGGGTTGTTTACAGTAATTTTTATGTTTTTATTTTAATACATTATTTGTGATATTGTGTGAATGTGTGATAATTTACTTTTAGCGAATTTCCCATATAGGGAATAAACTATTACCGTAGTACTCATGGTAACACCTGGACCTCGGCCCGATTTACTTTTTCGTTTTGAGGTCCCTATTGGCCAAAAACACCATCTGTTATATATAAATATATATATTTATATATTCCTTTATATATTTAATGATTAGGGAGGAAATTCAAAAAAAAAAATAAATTTAAAATTCCCATGTTATTCTGATGAAGAATAAGTCAACTGTTAGTTGTAGTTTACTTGTTTATGAACATATTTTAATCAAATTTGGAAAATACATTTTTTCTTACTAAACTACAGTATTAACATAAAAAAAAACTATTTTTTATCCTCCCTGTTTCAGCAAACCAAATTACTCGTTAAACTAATTATACTTAATAGGGATTAAATATGATATTTTTAATGAAAATCCAATCAGGCAAATGGAACTTCGCTAAGTCTGCAGGTTTGCTGCGGCGGGGGTATTTTATATTGTTTAGGTGCAGTGGTAGAATATAATGGCTATGGTAGATGTGTTATTAATACTATACTGTATATCAAATCAAATCAAATCAAATCAAAATCTGTTTTATTTCAAAAATTTTTTGTTTACAATAGATAGATACAAGATACGAAAAAATAGTCCCGCATAGGCCGTGCAAGACCTGTGCGCGGGACGAGTTCTATTTAAAATTTAAAAAAATCTAAAAATTAAAGCTAAATTAATCAAAATATTATTTACAACTAAGCTATGAGACAGCTACAGGAACATTTAATTCTAAGTAACAAGTAGTCGAGTGAATGGAGTTGCATTTACTGATGTCTGTACGCTAAATATTGTTTGGTGTTCTTGTGTACTAATTATTGTTAGGTATTGTATACTGAGCTGATAAGTGTCTCAGACTGATCGAGCCCAATCTCCGACAGCCAACTGCTTATCGAACGTTTGTAAACTGGAAGAGATGCCTGTAGATCTCTAATCTCTGATGGTATATTCCTATACAAAAAATTCGCAATATAAAAGGCATTGGTGAGGTTTGCAGATTTGAAAACTCTGGGTACCTGCATACCTACATTAACAGCTCCTCTGGTGGGATAATTATGCGTGATTGGCGTCACTATCAAATCTTGATTGGAATAGGTATATATAAGTAAAGTTTTTATAAAAAGTTGACGCACCGAAAGTAATTGAGTATTTTTGAACAATAAATTTGTAGAGAAACGCCTGTTGAATTGGAAAGCTATTTTAATAATTAGTTTTTGTATGACGAACAATGGATTTAAAATATTATTACTAGCTCCTCCCCATACTATAATTCCATATTGAAGTATTGATTGGACAAATGCATAGTATACAGTTTTTATCTCATCAATGTTTAAAATGTCGCATACGTTTCTAAAAACATAAATTAATTTTCTAAGTTTTGTCTTCAAATATTCAATATGGGGTTCCCATCTTAACCTACTATCCAATATCACTCCCAAGTACTTGTAATGATCTACTCTCTCCAAATGTAAACAACCACAGGTAGAGTTACCTGAATCTCCACAAACGTGCATCACTAGCCTGAGGTTGGCGGGAGGCTCACTACTTTGTCTGAGGAAAATCGGCATATATTTAGTTTTTAAAACATTCATTGATAATACATTTTGGGAGAACCATTTTTGCATAAGGAACATATCTGTTTGCGCTGCATTGAATGTTTGGTCCCAAGTATTACCTTTGAATATAATTGCAGTATCGTCAGCAAATAGAAAGAGCTTTCCTGTGATTGGAAGTTTGTCTAAATTGTTTATATAAATCAAAAAAAGGGATGGTCCCAGCGTACTGCCCTGGACAACTCCGTAGTCTATTTCACGTATATCACTAAAATTGTTGTTAATTGAAACTAACTGGCTACGTTTATTTAAATAACTACTAAACCATTTTTGGGCCGTACCACGAATTCCAATGCAGTCCATTTTATTTAAAAGAATATTTCTATCAATGGAATCAAATGCCTTTGCAAGGTCAATGAACACAGTCAATGCTTTTTCATTTCCGTTAATACACTCAGAAATATATTTATTCATAGCGAAGAGAGCATCACTGGTATTTTTACTCTTCCTAAAACCATACTGACATTCTGATAACAAATTATTTTCTTCCAAATAACAGTGCAATTGTATTTTGACACATTTTTCTAAAATCTTTGACATAACATTCAGCAGGGATATTGGGCGATAATTATTTAATTCTTGTTTTAACCCCGATTTATACAAAGGGACTACTTTCGCTATCTTAAAACCGTCAGGAAATTGTCCAGAGAGAATGCTTAGATTAACTAGGTGTTTGAGCGGAGGTATTAGTGCTGGAATATTATTTTTTAATAAAATCGCCGAAATTCCATCTATCCCAGGAGCAGATCCACCACGCAAATCCCTAATGCACCACTCAAGTTGGCTGTCGGTGACCGGCTCCAGCCGGAACTCATGTCTGACTCTGAACGCTGAATCGTCAACCAGCGGAGGTCCTGCCAGTTGCGGTATGCTTTGGGCAAGATTCCTACCTACATTTGTAAAAAAGTCATTAAACGAATTTGCTACTTTTTTAATACCATCTCTATCAGATTTCTCATAAAAAAGACTTAATGGGAATTTTTCACGAATTTTCTTTATACCACTTATTTCATTTACTATATTCCAAAATTCTTTTGGCCGTCCAGTTGATTCGAGAATTTTGTGTTTGTAATAGGAGATTTTTGCTGACTTGATTTCACGGTTCAACCAATTACGATAATTACGGTAGTTGACTTTTAAGTTTTCGTCGAAAGGATGCCTTTTTACACGTTTACTTAATCTATCACGTTCACGTATCCCACGAATTAGATTGGTTGTGATCCAAGGCTTTAGTTTCTTATGCCTACTGGTTTTATATTTAGACTTCATCGCTTGGCATTTAAGATGGTCAAAAGTACCAAGAAATGCATCGCAACAGAGATTGACATCCTGCAGAGCCAGAACATGGTCCCATGACTGACGCTCCATCAGCTCTTGTAGCAATTTCTGGTCTATGTAAGTGATAGTTTCGTTGTCGTCTGTTTTTGTTTGTAGTTTTTTAAATGAACAGTATTCAAGTTTAGCAGCAATAGCATAGTGGTCAGTAACATCTGTTTTAAGTATACATGAACTTACTGAGGAATAATCAAAGTGATTTACAAATAAATGGTCAATACAGGTCTCAGATAGTTCAGTTACTCTTGTCGGTTTGTTTATGTAATCGGTAAAGCCAACACTGTAAAGTATGTTTAAGTAATAGTCTTTTTCAAAAACATTTTGACAGCTATGTAAAATGTCTATATTGATGTCACCAACATAAAAGTAAGTAGTGTGTTTATTAACATTGCTATAGTAGTTGTTTAGATCAGTTACGAATGAATGATAGTTCATAGATGGACTACGGTATATAGCTACTACATTAAAGTGCCTAT